GCTCCTCCTGTTCCCCCGTCTGTCCTCGCTTCATTTCTCAAAACTCACCGCGGCGCGCGGTGTGCGACTGGGCGGTCTCGGTCCGAAACTCACAGACGCAGCAAGTGTGGCCTCGCTGCGGGCGGCCAGCTCAAGCATCTCATCGGATGTGCCAGGTTCGACGCTTTAGGCGTTTTTTTTTTTTTTTGTTTTTTTTTTGTTCCCCCCTTTTGTTTCCCCGCCCCTGCATTCCTCCTTCTGCCTCGCCGGGGTGTCTCGCGCATCCTGACCCAGTGCCATTTCCCTCTGTCGGATGCCCTCTGAACGGAATCTCGTCGCAATCGCTGGCTCTGAGGTTCGTCAGACGCCAGCCTCCAGCCCGACCCGGCTTGTCTCGTCGGGCGCGCGCCGCAGGGGATGGTGCCAGGACATAGTGTGTTGCTTTCTTCTCGTTCTCGTGTCCGCCTGCCCTCGTCTCGTTTTTCTGCTTGGTGAGTGGGCCCTCCTCCTCCCTTTCCTGCTCCTCTTCCATCTCCACGTTCTCGTTTTTCTCGTCTCCCCATTCAGCTGGGCGTGCTAGGTGCCAGTGGACTCGCCCCCCGCCGGAAGTTGATCCCAGCGCGGGGGCCGCTATCCCCCGGCGCGCGGCGGGCGCCGTGAGGGCGCGCGATGCGGCGTCGTTGCCAGGCCCAGGCATTGGCGCGGGCGTTTCGTGTGCACCACTTTTTTTTCCGGCGCTCCGGTTTCAGAAGATTGCCCGCTGGTGGAGTGCTTCGGGCACTTGCTGACCACGTGCTCTGCGGCGGCGCCTCTGCCCGAGGCGCGCCCATGCGCCGACGCGATGCGCGGCTGCGCCGCCGCGTGGCCGAGCGGCGCCATCGACGCGGGCATCGGGCACCGCTGGCAGGGGGGCCCCCGCCAGGACATGGGCGAGCTGGAGCTGCTGACTCAAGCGGGGGCTAGACCGCAAGTCCCAGCCCCAAGGGGCGCCCGCGAGGTAAACAGCGCGCGGGGCTGGGCTCAGTCGCCAAGGCATTTGCTGGGGCCTGCCCCCCGGTGCACCCGCAGGGTAAACGGCGCGCGGGGCAGGCCCGCCTCGACGGGGGCTCTTGGAGGCGGGGCCACTGCAGCTCATGGGCCGACCGCGGGGGCGCCGAGGAGCCACTCAGCGAGTTCGGCTCGGTGCCATTCCTCCCCTGGCCTGACCTCGGTGGACAGCGGGCCGGGCGCGGCGGTTCCCAGAGGGGCGGGGGCGCCGCCAGCCAGGGCGGCGCCGCCGAGGGCCCCTGCCGCGGTCTCGCCGCCCTGCGGGCGGGGGCGAGGAGCGGCCTAGCGGCGCGCGGGCCTACCACCTCGACATCCTGCCGCGGTCTCACCGGCCTGCAGGCGGGGGTGAGGAGGAGGCGGTGGCAGGCGCCGTGGCGACCGCGACCGACGAGGCGGTGCGTGGCCAGGTCGCGTCGCTCCTCGCGGCCTACCACCGCGGCTGCGCCGCTGCGGGGCTGAGCTGCGCCGCGGGCTCGCGCGCGTCCGACCCGGGGGGGGCCCCTGGTCGGGCTGCTGGATTCGTCTCGGATCCTGGCGGCGCGGGGCCCCTGGCGGTCTCCGCGGGGCCCGTTCCTGGGGCGCCGCCAGGCCCGAGGGCTTGGGGGTGAGTGCGGGTGTCCAGCACCCCGCGCTGCGGGGTGCCAGGTGCTTGCGCTCGCGCGGCGTCGGGTCTCCTCGTCGCCCGGGGCCGTGCATGTGCGCGGCAGCAAGGCGGGGCGACGTGGCGCTCGCCTTCGGGCCGTGCGCGTCCTGGCCCTGCGGTGCCATCAAGCTGGCTTCCCCCTCGTCGTCGCTTCTTTGTGCGCGGCGATGCGCTCGCAGGCCCGTTTTCTTTTCCTGGGGGGGTTTGTGGGCGGGCCCTTCTGGGCCCTCCGCGGGGCGATAGCTGGGCGTTCCCTGGCGACCACCTCGGTCCGAGTTAACTAATGCTGCCCAGGCGCTGGGCGCCCTCCGCCCCCCCAAGGCCGCGCGCCCGAAATTGCGCGTCGACGATGGTTGGCGTTCCGGCACAGGCACCTTCAAAGAAGTCATAGCTCGGCTCCCAGACGCGGCCGAAGACCTTCATGCTGCCCAGGTTGAGGGAGTCGGAGTCCAGATCGGCGTTGAAAAACTTACCCTCGCGTCGTCTAGTCGCGCCTTGGGGCGGGCCCTTGCCAGAGCCATGGGGGGGGGGGGGGCCCGCGGGGCCCCGCGGGGCAGGCGACTGCGCCGGCAGGCCCATGAGGGCTGAGGGCCGCTTTGCAATAGCCAGGGACCGAATGCGAAAGGTCTCTGAGCAAACTGTGCGTTTGGCACGTCTTCGCCCCACTTTTAGTGGTCAGCGTGTAAAGAGAATTCTCTCGGCGGGGACCCCCTAAAGGTGCGTGTGGGACGGGGGTGGCTGTGGCGACGGACTTCGAGCTCCTCTTGCTCCGTCAGATGGCTGGCAAGGCTCTCAAGCCCAGCGCTGGGGGCCGCCCCCTTACCGCGTTGATGCTCTGCCATGGCGACCCGCCCTGGACTGCTGCCATCGCCCTGGTGCATGCATGGGCCATGGAGGTTCGGAGACCCACCGCAGGCTTCATCCTCACTCGCTCTCGTTCGACTCGATGCGCGCGGCTCGGGAAGCTGCGCTGCAGCGCCCTTTTGCGTTGCGGCGCGCCGTGGCCGGCCCGATCAGTGCGACGAAGAAGTCTCTCGGAGGAACGTTGTGGTCTATGCCGTCTTTCATTGTCCCGAGGGACGAGCGCGGCATTGATATTCGTCTCACCCAGATATCGCCTGTGATGGTTCGGTCTCTTTCACAGCGCGCTGTCACCAGGGCCCTTGAATGGGACTTAGGGGCTCGCTTTGACGCGGGCCGTGTTTGCACGGGCGGTATCTTGTCCTCGTTGTTTTCGAAAAGCATGTCCCCGTGCCAGAGACATTACATTCAGGCCTTCTTCTGCGATGCGGTGTGGACCAGACAAAAGGCCCGTTCCAAGGGGTACCTTATCGGAACCGATTGTGGTCTGTGCGAGGCAGCAAAGGACATACTGTGCCGTCGTCTTTGGCACTGCCCTGCCTGCAGCGATCTTAGGAACGAGCTGGTGCCAGCTCAGGTGCAGGCGTGAGCTGCCGAGGCCGACGACGCTTTATCCTGCCACGGTCTCATCACTCATCCAGCCGAGCATATTTTGTTCAGCCGCTTTTTGAAGAAGGAGCGGTCACCGAGATGTGCGAGGAGGCGGAGGATTTGATCTTCGACAGGGACTTCGCCGGTCAGAACTTTATTGACGGCTCCTGCTTGCGACATCGAGTGACGGAGCTCGCTCCTGTTGATGGCCGCCACGGTGCTCGGCCCGCGCGCTAACAATGATATGATCCGCATCAGGGGTCCCGTCTGGCCCCCCTATCCTCAGGCCCCCCGGGGTACTGAATGCCATGCCTTCCGCGCTGCTGCTAGGTTCGTTGCTCGCATGCCAACCGTCCACACTGACTGCCAGAACGTAGTCGACTATGCTGCCATGCCTTGGGTCGAACAGACTAGCCACAAGAGGCTGTGCGCTGGCTGCGCCCAGCTCGCCCATGCCAACTTGCCGTCTTTAGCTGTCAGTGAAGAGGCAGCGCGCCTTGACGTCGAATATGCGGTTGACGACGAGCGAGGATCATCGTTTGCGGCTCGGCCATAATTTAGTAGATGCCTCTGCCAAAGTCGTTGCCTCCTCCCGCCCCGAAGCTGACGATGCAGTCATCGAGCTGCTCGACAAACAGTTCGCTGTCGCCCGTGCCGTGGCAGCTCTGGACGCAAAGCTCATTCTCGAATGGCCACCACTGAAGCGTGGGCCCGACGTTTTCGGGGAGGGAGAAGCTGGCCAGAGCAAAACGCAGAACCTTCCACGCGCCTGGCTGCAGATCGGCTGTTTTTGGAAGTGTAGAACTTGTTTGGTTGTTTCCCATGGGACTCGGCCCTCGTGGACTGGCGGCCTAGGAGGCCGAATGCTCCCCCCGCCTACTGGGCGTGCTCGGGCAAATCTAATTGATACCCGGCGCCGCTGGAGGCGCGTCACCATATATGTGTTTATTTTGCATGCTCTGACTCCTCGCGTCTTGTTGTGCGCTTGCGTTGTCAAGCGTACAGTTGCCACGACAGCGAAACATTTCTTTTCTCTGGACTGCAAAGCTCCGCGAAGTGCCGGGCCCAAGTATGCATGGTCTCAGAATGCTATATTAGAAACGTGCAGCCGAAGCATAATGATATCATTGTCGAGCGCGGTCCGTGTTTCGATTGGCAAGCTTGAGGTGATGTCGAGGAGCCCGTGGCTCCACCTCTTCGCGATGCCGAGGAGAGCGTGCCTGCCCAGCTGCCGCCCGCCCAGCAGCTGCTCCAGGTCGCACCCGCCTTTCGTGAAGAGGGGGACTCCCAGCCTCTCCTCCCGGCGGCTTGGCGAGCGGAGTCAGGACTATTCCGACGGATTTCTCGTTAGTGGGCCTCTGTCCCTGGGGCCTCCCCCTTGTTCGGCGCTTCGGCACCCACAGCGGACCTCTTGTCAGGTGCTCGCTCGTCCACCCTGTGCGGTGTCATGCCGATGCGGCTCTCTCTGCCTGCACTCTTGTGTGACAGTACCCAAATGGACGAGTAGCCAAGCAATTTTTCCCCTCTGGGTGGCCTGAGGTGTTTGCAGAAGCATGCAGAGGTGAAGCGGCCTGTAGCGGTCAAACTCCTCCTCCTCCCCCTCCTCCTCCGCCTCCTCCTCCTCATTCCCCACATCTCCTCGTCCACCCCTCCTCCCCTCTCCTTTTCTTCGGCCCTCCCTCCTCCTACTTCTCCTACTCCCCCTCATCCTCCTCATCCTCTTTCTCCTCCTCCCCCTCTCTCCTCCTTGGCTTCCCTCCCTCATCCCTTTTCTTGGCCCCCCACCCTTCGGCCCGAAAGCCCGCGCCCACGAGAGGCGGGCCTCCGGTACGCACCCGCGGTCGTGCTGCGACTCCTAGCGGCGCTGCTCTACGGCGTCATGGCCGCCGCCCACCCCCCCGTCCCGCAGACCCCCTCTAGCCATGAAGAAATCACGACGATAGGTTTTTGGCTATTTTCGGCCCCTGGGGGCCCTCACTGGCCTCAGGACCGTCAAAAAACGACTCAGGGTGAGAAAGCGGTCCTGGGGAATGGGTCGAGACTTTTGGGGTCGACGTTGTGATAAAAATTGACGTCGGGGCTTTCGCGGCGGGGGAACTTGCTATCCGGATGGAGGGTTCGGTCTTCCAAGATCTTAGGCGACATGTTTTTGTCCAACCTTCTTGTGTTGGACTCTCGTTTTGAATGGAGCACTGTGGTCTCCATTCGTCCCTCCTCCCCGCCTCCTGCGTCCTGCCTCCTACTTCCTGCCCCCTGTCTCCTCTTCCTACTCTTCCTTCTTCCTTCTCTCCTTCGTCCTGCTTGCGTTGCAGCCCCGATGTGACTCTGTCTCTCTCGCTTGCTCCTGTGAGGAGGGAGCTGGCTGTCCCCCCCCCCGGGGGGGGGCTACGAAGTGTGAAACCTCGCGGCTCCCTGGGAAGCTGCGAAGTGTGAAGGTGTTGCCAGTTTCGTTGGCTCCTGGGAGGTCCCTCGGCGTGGAGTTGTACGGGGATCTGGTATCTGGTTGGAACCTCGCGGCTCCGTGGGGCTGCGATGTGCACACTTGTCGCCATTTTCGTTGGCTCCTCGGAGGTGGCGCGGAGTGGAGTTGTACCCACCTCCCCCTCCTCCCTCGTCCTCCTCCTCCTCCTCCTTCTCCTCCTCCTCCTCCTCCTCCTCCTCCTCCTCCTCCTCCCCGTCCTCCTACTCCTCCTTCTCCTCCTCCTTTTTCCGCCTCCTCCTCCCCCTCCTCCACCTCCTCGCCTCCTCCCTTCTTCCTGCCACCTGTCATATCCTCCTTCTGCTCCATCCACCCTCCTCCCTCCTGCCTCCCTGCTTTCCCACCCCCCTCCATGCTCGATCATATATCCTCTTCCCTCCTCCCTCATCCGTCTAACTACCCGGCACGCGGCAACGTCTGCGGGGCGGAAACTGACATTATTCCGTTGTGCTCGCCACGTGGCAAACGCCTGGGAGGCGAACGGATGTGCTACTCCACTCTCCTCGCGACGTGGCAACGCATGCGGGACTGACGAAAAATATAATGGCGCGTGAATTGCGAGGTGGAAGCGGCTGGGTAACAAAACAGAAATTGTTCCACTCCACGACTCACCACGTGGCAACGCCTGCGAGGCGAAACACATGGTCCCTGTTTACTGGTCAATGCAAACCAGCAGCAGAGAGTGGCCGCGATCCGTGTCCATTTTAGCTCGAGAGCTTGTGCTGAAATTCTTGCTTCCCTCGGCGGTCCGCGGTGGATGCAGGCGGGACTGGTGGAGTTCTTCGCGCAGGAGGGCGGGGCTGTCGTCGGTGTTCCACGCGAGCAGGTGCCCGCCTGCCCCGCGACTCCTCCCTGCCCTGAACTGCCGCCCTGCCCAGCGTGCCCCGGGGCGCCGCCGACGCCCGGGCGCGGAGGCGCCGGGGAGGCAGCGGCCCAGGGGGCCCTGGCGGGCTTCGGGGTGGGGCTGCTGTGCTGCGGGCTGTCAGCCTGGGCCTTCGGCCACTGCCCGCAGAGGCGGGGGGCGGTGACGGAGGCCCACTGCCGCAGCGAGGCGGGTGGCGGCAGCACGGCTCGTGGTGCCGCTCCAGGTGGACGAGATCAGGGAGTGGGCACTCGTGCTCTACGCGGTGCCAGGACCACTGGTGTACCACCAGCGCCGGGTGGTCGGATGCCGGCGCTCGGCGCGCTCGGCGACTGAGCTCGCCTTATGGGCACGCCGGGCCTGGACGTGTACGAGGAGGACTACCACCCGAGCTCGCTCGGCACCGACATTGCGCAGGTGGTGTTCTCAGCCGCGGGCTGGCCGCCGCCAGCTTGCGTCCTGCGGGCCCAGGTCTATCGCTTCCGCGATGACCTCACGGGACTGGAGCTCGCGACGATGCAGGGCGCCGCTCGGATGGAGGCAAGCCGCTTGTGGTCGTTGGACGACCAGGCCGCCGGCGGCGCCGGGGCGCCAGTGCCCGCCGACGACTTCGTGCCGCTGCCCGCCGTCGCCGGGTCACTGGCCGCCGGGGCTCCCGCTGCCGCGGTCGGAGGTCCCCCCGCAGTGCCTGGTGGTGCGGTGCCGCCTGGGGTTGCGCGGGCCCCCCCGCGGTGGCGGGCGCGGCGATGGCGTGGCCCGCCGGGCCCGCGCCGCGGCCGCGCCTGCCGCCCCGCCGCCAATGGCGGCCGCGGCGGACGCGCCTCCTGGGGCGGCGCAGCGTTGTCCCGCGATCCCCGACGGGTTGCCCACTCGACGGGCTCGTGGTGTACGGGGACGTGCTGAACGTGGGTGCTGCTGGCGGGCCGACGGTGGCTGGCGGGTCGGGCCGCCGACAGGTGGTGATGCTGCATGGCGGTCACACCTCCTTGGCCGCGCTCGTGGCCGACTCCGAGGTTGCCCAGCTCCAGAGGGCCGAGGCAGCGACGCTCGCACCTTGCCGGCGGTGCGCGCCGCTGTCGGCCGCGAGAGATCGCGGGCATCAGCGGTCGCCGAGTGTTCGGAGGAGCCGATTCCAGACTTTGGGGTGGAGCCCCCGCGGTCTGCCAAGTGGCGGGCGGCCTACCAGCAGAGTGACGGAGGCCCAGCCCTGCACTCGGAGATGTGGAAGGCTCGCCGACGCCTGCAGGACTACGACTTCGGGATGGGCGAGCACTAGATGTTCAGCAAGATCGTGGAGACCCTCGGGACGGCGGATCAGCTCGACATCTACAAGTTGGCTGGGGCGGAGATGGCGCGCCGGAAGCTCCAGAAGACCGAGTATTATTGGGGCGAGCGGAGGCAAGAATGCAGGCGTTCCTCGGAGGCGGCAGGGCGCCCAGCATGGCGCGCCCAGACTTGCTGGATCAGGTGGCGAAGGAGCTGGAGAGGGTTGCAGGCATCAAGAAGAATGCGAGGAAGCTCCGTGGGAGCAGGCCGCTTTGGCGAAGAATCCGGGGGCCCCTCCCGCCAAGGGGCGCTGCAGGTCGCGCCGCGCGGATGGGCCCCCACACCCAGGTGGCTTCCATGATCGGGGGAAGGTGGCAGACGAGCTGGACCGCAATCGATGGGCGGCCCTCGGTGCGCCGCGGGCGCGCGCGCGCGCGCGCTGCCGGGCGGGCCTGCCGGGCGGGCCTTCTTCGCGAACTGGCGCAGACGCTGAGCCAGATGGACGCCGGGGGGGATGAGCCGCATAGGCGCCCGCTGGACAGGCCGCGCCGAGCCCGAGAGGTGGCGCTGGAGCACTTGTGCGACTGCTGCGCAAAGTTCGGCAGCCCGCCGCGGCCCTCCAGGAGCTGCAGGCCGGCCGGCCCGCCAAAGTGCGACTGGGCGGCCGGCGCGGCCCTCCAGGAGCTGCAGGCCAGTTCGGCGCGCGGGGCTGTTAAGGCCCAGTGAAGCGACCACCCCCCCCCTTCAAGTTTTCGTTCAGTGCGTCGCCCGAGCGTCGCCCGTGCGCCGGCCCTGGTTTGCGTCTCTGTCCCGAACCCCGGCCTCCCAGAGTGCGTGGGCGACATATGGTGCGACTTCGGAATTGCTCTGGCGATATATAGGTTTCCGACGCCCGTGCACCAGCAGCCATTGTGGCGGTCGCGGCGCACTCCTAGTTCGACGGTCCACCAACGCGTTCTGTTCCCACTTCGGCGCAAGAGGATTTGCTGGTGCTCATTGTCGGGGGCGCCAACCGTTGCTGAGGACGAAGACGCCTCGCGTTGATTGGGGGCTGTGCGTGTCGCGCCGCGGTGGGGTGACGTCACGTCGCGCGACGCGGCGCCACTTCGCCCCGTCGCATCGCGCCCCGCGCCCCCATGTCGTTTCGCTCCAATCTTCCTGCCCCCCCCTCTTCCTTCCTCTTCCCCTCGTCCAACGCGCTGCGCGTTTTGTCCCGTTTGCGAAATTTGTATTCAGTTCTTCTGCGTCAGGCTGCCGTCCTGTCCGCCTCCCTACTCGCCCCCCGTTGTCCTTCCACCCTCCTGGAACTTCTTCTCGCCCTCCTCGCTCCCGCCGCCCCCCTTTCGATCGCCTTCCATCGCTCCCGCCGCCGCTGCGCCGCCCCCGCGCGCCCCCTCCTCGCCCGTCCGTTCCCGTTTCCGCCCGCCCTTCCCTCGCCTCACTTCCATCCTCTTTTTCCCCCCCCAATGCATCGGCGGGCGAGACGTCGCCAAATTGCTGCAGCGACGGACCGATGTTCAACATCTGACGGGGCGTGCGCTTGAAATGGATTAATCAGTGCGCGCTGCATCTCCATGTCGTCTCTTGGTCTCCTCGCGTTCGTAGTTTTCACGCGCGTGTCTCGCTATTTCTACGATTGCCGCGCGCGTCCCTTTATTGTTTCGCCAGCGGGCCGTGCAGTTCACATGCCGTCAGGAGTCCACGGCGCCCTTCGAGCGATCCGCGCGCGACCTGCGCGCGACGCGCGAACGGCCCGAGCGACGCCCGCGCGACGCACGCGCGACGCGCGCGCGACGCGCGCGCGACGCACCCCGACCCGCGCGCGACGCACCCCTGCCAGCGCGCGACGCACGATCGACCCGCGCGACGCACGCGCGACGCACGCGCCACGCGCGCGACGCACGCGCGACGCACGCGCGACGCACGCGCGACGCACGCGCGACGCACGCGCGACGCATGCGCGACGCAGTCGCGACTTTGCCCGCCCCTGGCATTTCTCCGAGCAGCAATGCGCAACGGCCGTCGGCCCGCCGTGCTTGCGCTGTTCACAAGTGGCGGCGGCTGCGCCCTCCATTGCGCCTGGAAGGGCGGTGCTTGCCCCTGTTATTTCCCTTTTCCTTCCTCGTCGTCCCTCCTCTTTTGTCATTCCTCCTCCTTCGTCCTCTCTCCTGCCTCGCCCCCCTCTCTCCTCCCCTTCTCTTCCTCCTTTCTACCGGCCTCCCTCTGTCAGTCCCTCCCCCCTCCTCTCTCGTCTTTGTTTTTTTTGTCCTTGCCA